AAAAAAAAAAAAAAAAAAATATAACAAAATAAACGAATCGACCGTCGTGCAAATGAAACAACAAACACGGCAGTTTTCTACGAGACCGTTTGACTGTTTTCTCATTTTCGATGCACACCGCAAAGCATAGAATGATGTAATCGTTACGAAATTAGGTCGCGGAAGTTGGGTCGCGATTCGCCACATGCGAAAATGTACTTTGCAGTTCCGAACAGACGTAAGAATTGCAATTACACGTAATGTACGATCGAGATGTGAGGCGAGAAGTGACGAGCGCGATTTCTCTCGCGAAATTTTCCCGTCGATGAAGAATCCCGCTTTGTTCGCCAACGTCGACAAGAGCGTTCCTACAAGAGGCATTGTAAACGGCAATCGAAAGGTAATCAACGGTCACGGCGGCCACGGGGGCGTGCCAGAAAAACGGAGGACGCCGCTGCATTCTCGATGCACCTAAGTAGGCGCGCATAATTATGCGCATCTCGTATTTCGAAACGCTTCTCTCTTCGCGCCGTCGTTATGCGCTGCCGTGCGGCTCGCCTTATCTAGACTTTCCCATCGAAGACACCGACGCTTTCCGAGGAGGAAAAAGGCGAAGGCGAAATAATTAGACGGTCTTTGTACGGAATGTGTTGCGGAGCTATCGGACTGTTCCAGCAGTGTGAGAACATTTTTGGACACAAACTTCTTGACAATTTAATAAGGATTTTTCCTACACTTCTAACATCGATCGATGTAAAATAGCTGATTCAATATGAATGGCTTTCTAGAACGATAATGTCAATTCTTAATTAAATTCCTTGCGATATGAGAAAAATTACAGTCTGGCTGGATTATTACTCGCTTGAATCGGCAATTTAATTGCAAAATCGTCGCACGGGAAAGCTGTTCGCCTTGTGGCCTTCCGCTTCGCTTCGCGATCGTCGAGGAGACTGTCAAATATATATGCGTATATAATGTATTTCATCAGAATTAATATATTATGTAAAATTCCGGTTTATAATTTCGGCGACTTAGGTTTTCGGAAAGAAAAAATTTATGCCGCGAGAGAGGATGATCGTGTCATTAAATATAGGATTTTACGTAAGCAAAAAAATGAATTAGAAGATTTGGTCAATTCTTATGTATACGCAAAGTGTGCACAATAATGTTACGGAAACAGTTTCTAATAACAAATTGGAAACTGATGTCGGGTATTAGCAAAGCGACTTTAGCAAAGCAGTTGTTAGAATATACGATAATAAGATACTATAATTGAAGATATCCTCAACTTGTCAAGCCGCGTAAAGAGAATACAGTCCGCCTCGCCGTTCCGCGTGAACTTGGCGCGACTGCATCTCTCGACCGTGCAGAAGGCGCGCATTGCGAGAACAATTCAACGAGGATAAAACGGAAATTATCGGCAGCTTCCGTGTTAAATCTCATCTCCGAGATAAGAGCGGAATTGATTCTCTCCTCTCTCGTCGCCGTTCTATTAAATAGAAAACTTTGTACGAGGATCAACTCTGGCGCATCATACCGATAATTACGTACCAGTCTCGACCTAATATCACGAGTTGTATTCGCGAGGGAGTTAATTAAGAAGATGACGAAGAACCGCTTCTACACGGTGTCCCAGAATCTGCAATTAATTAATCTTTCAACAATTGATTCTTTACGGGATTTGCAGGCGCCCTCTCGTGGGAGAAACAATCCCGAGAATGGTTATCATTTTTGCAAACAATTACAAAGATCGTGCGTTGAAGATATTCCAATGTAAATAAAGTTCTGATCGAAATCAATATTTCTGAAGCATCCCGTATACCGCTACGCGAAATAATTCAGCGCAGATTATTTCTCATCCGGCGCCGTAAACTTTCTGAAAGAGAATCGCGAGAGAGAAATTCCGTTTGGAAAGGAAGGTTTTACGTCGGCTGATCGGCTCGTAGATGAGAAGGAAGGTAGTTCACCTTGCGGGAACAGCCTTCCGTTATTCACCGTAATCCATTCCACGGTCGGCGGCGCCTATCGATCCCCTTCGACGGCGATAGAATGCACCGCGGCATATAGATGCTTTCCTCGAATTAGCGGTCTGTCATATGTCAGGAATTTCTTCCTTTTCACTTTTCCGTGCGAACAACGCGACCGTATTTGGTGTAAAGCCAACGCGCTAGTCTCATAGCTATTACGATGTAGTTTGCAGCTGCATCGCGATTGATGAATCATGAGATTCGCATTATCATTCAGGGAAATCGGAGTAAATTGCATTTGTAATTTATGTGGCTAGAGATTTCAATGCGTAGAGAAGGAATCTTTATATTTGTTAACGTTACACACTTTATTAATGTCTATTTTATGCCTTATGAAAATGTACGAAGTTAAACTGTCGATTCTGTCCATCTTGTTTCACTCGCGTACTGCTTTTTATGCGTCTCACGCGTCTCGTCGTGTCGCTTATTATGCGCCGAGTCATTTCCAGACAAAGGAGAATAAACTTTAATAAGATCTAAAGGTTTCTTTTCGTTGAACGGTTGAAGAGTTTTTGAAATATACATTTATCGTTTGTGTCGCACAAACAGAATAAGCTCGTACTAAAAGCATTAAAGCTGATATTAAGAAAAGAAGAAAAGCTATCGAGAAATCGAGTTGCTAAAAAGAAACGATTGCGCGATTCGAAGAAAGTTCATACAGCAACCCGAATTTTACGATCCACCTTTCTAAATCGACCTCTAGATTGATCGAGAAGCAATAGCGTCGTCTTAAGCATATATTATATATCTCTCGCTTAAGGATGTGTTTCTTAGATATATATGTAAATTTTGCTAATTATGAAAGCAAAAGTGAAAAAAGGAAATCAGAAAATTAGTATGATGATGAAGATTCCTGATTTTAAAAACTTTACCAAAGCATATTTATGTGCAATAAATTTATAGACACAATTCTCAATCGCAAAATATCAAGTGTTACGCCTGTGTGTCGTGATTCTCTTTACATATATTACTTAATGTTACTGTTACAACACCGTTGATGAGTTCGGGGACGTTGCAAGACAGTACGCAATATAAACTTACCTTCTTTTGCAGCTTCGGACTGGAGCGCGCGAACGAATTCGAGCGTAGGGGCGTCTAAGACAGTTGCAACGGCCCCGTCAAAGAAAGCCGTCCTGTTTCAAGCTCTCCACAGGTAAATTTGTCATACTTCTCAGGGCGAAGAAGAAGGAGCAGAATATCGGAACCTGAAAAGATTAGCAATTAAGAAATTATTTTTTTATCACATTTTTTATTCTTTTACACGTGTATATGTGTAGAAGCATTGCAGACCTAGATTAATGGCATCATAATATTCTTCATGGCACTAACTCTGTTCTTCTTCATGTAGTTCATTAACTCACTCGCTGCCCTTGTACCTACAAGAATAATATATAATCCTCCCCAATGGCAGACAAGATAAAAATTCTTTACAAAATTCTCTTAGCATACTTTCGACTGGATCACCGGAATATCTAACGTCCATCATTTTTCTTTGCAATTCTTGTATCACAGGCATGTGGTTACTGAATTTGATCGCATTCTTTTGTGACATTATTACCAACGGGAATATAATAGTCCTTGCACAAACAGTACCTGAAACACAATTGCACAATTAGTACTTTTGTTAAAAATCTGTAACAGATGTATGATCTTATATTATTTTTTTTCAAAGATAATGATATAAAAGATAATAAGAAAAAAAGCACAATTACTAGAGTACAAGAACCATTGTTAATTAAGACTATTGTTAATTAAGATATAAAAAATATGTTTTAGCTATAATTTTGATTGCAATAATCTTCTAAGCTTATAATGAAAGAAAGAATACCGAAGACACAATTCCTGCCCACCATGGGCACAAAATCTAAGCTCTCAAAAGTTGCTTGTCTATTTGAATGCATTTCCACAACATTGTCCACTATCTGCTATAATGATGTTGATGGATCTACATATATATATATAAGATGCAGATTAACAAATAGTAAATAGTAGAAAGTTTCAACAATATTGATTATTTTAATTACAACATTTTTAATATTTATTATAACATAAACATTAAAAAATTAAAGTCACATAATGTTAGAAAATGTTTCTATAAATACCTGATATTTCATCATATGGATTGCTCTTTGATGACATTTTGTTTGTGCTGGCATAATGAACCAAAGAGATTCCTGTAACTCTATAGTGTTTGTATAAATTCAGCAAGGGATTGCTTCTGGGAGTCCTGTTCACTTGAGTGACTAAATGAATATGCCTGTGTGTAATTGCTTTCTAAATAAACACAAAACAATACAATTAAAATATTTTTTTGAGCAAAATTGTATTTTAAACAACATTAAATTATATCCTTTACACAAAAATGATATGTAAAATCGAAAAAAATAAATAAAGATTTTCTGAATAATTATTAGCAAGATATGCAATAAAATTGATACATTTGCATTAACTGTGCATATAAAATTTTTCCCAGATTTGTCATTCAGATATAAAATTGTTCAGTCGTTCTTCTTCTCAGATATCTTATATTTTATGTGATTTGTATTTTTGACTATTATAATCCTTTAACCTCTAAAAACATAGAAACATTAATTTTACCTGTGATATACTCGTTTTTAATAGCCTTTGCTGGCAAACGATCGTGGATGCGTATCAACATTTTTGGGATTTTTGTTTAAACTGTCGATAATTCTTGATTAATCGATAAATTGACGATTATCCGACTTCATAATCAAAATTCAGCGTGGAGGTAATGGGACTCAATGCTATCTGAAAAAAACATTTATAGCAATCGCAAAGTACATATGTACATGCCGTCTTAACCTATAAATATGGCAAACCGAGCTGATAGCATCTATTTCGCGTTGTTATGTTAAGTATCAAAAGAATTAATTTTGTTTTTGTAATTAATTGATAATATCTTTCAAATTAATTGCCTGAAATAAATGACTCTGGCCTTATCAAACGTGCTAAACTTTTTCTTTTCACATGACACTTGTTCACTGCACTTTTCCATGAGAGATTGACAATCTTGATAATCGACCCGTGCGCACGTGATCTCCCGAAAGATTCCGACATAGGCCGACCGATGCTACTGCCACGCAATCTATACGAATGATTCAGGTCATTGCCTTTTCCACATGATCGGTTAATCTAGGTCAACTATTAATAGCACTTCCGCATTCCACGCGGTGCATCTTCAGTCTATTTATAGACGGTACAGAATTTTCAAAACGCAATAACTCAGCGAAAAATTGACGTAGCAACATGAGACAAAAACGAATCTTCTCAGTTTTTTATGCTGCACATGTTTATGTACACTGCACATGCTCTTATCATGACACGCATATACATATTTGTATTAGATTCAGATAAAATTAGGATATTTTATATAGCCGAATTATTTGAATAGTTCAAAGTAAAAAAATATAATATTATCTACATTATTTTAACTTCTAATCCCGACTCATGGGTCGTTTTCGACCCAAGCGAAATTTCAAAGTGCTGTAAGGTACCTCCATTTCTTAATAACAAACTATATAAAAAATAATTTTTATCGAAATATTATAATTGGGACTTCAAGTTGAAGGTTGAAAGAAGCTCCATGAATTTTTTCAGATTTTTTAAAGCGTTTTTACTGATCCAAATAACGCAAAGACGCAAAGCGACCCATGAGTCGAGATTAAAGGTGCCGAAAAGAACCGTCGGGATTAAGGATTAAGAGTATTACACCTTGCGAATGTACTAACAAATGTTTTTTTACCTTTATTTCGAGTCAGGTTTTGCAACACGGCATATAAAGTTGAAATATATGATGCATCAAATAAAAGTAGAAAAATAATGCTTATTTTCTATTAGAATAAGATATACATAAAAAATGTTTTTATTACTATAAGAATCATCCTGGCAACTTTAATACAAACGTTTAAATTCAAAGTAAGTAAAAATATCAAAATAGATCAAATAAAGAAGTAAATGTGGATATGGCAATAAATACAAATATGTAAAAGCTTTAAAAATTAAAATCAAAGAGAGATTTTTAATTAAAAAAAGTAAGAATTTACATTAAAAAAAGGTATAATTAAAAAATATAGACACGATATGAAAGAGTAATATGATATGTGTGAAACATCATACAAACAGTACATATTATTTTCTTCAATATATTTCAAACAAATGCGAAAACAGTATATAGTAACATGCCAACAGATTTAATTACGTTTTTACAATAAATTCCGACACATTCTATCCTCATTAAGTTTAGTTTCTGTCAGTACGATATTAAAGCTAACGCAAAAATGCAAAGACAGATAGAAACGTAATTGTATAAAAATTTGCAATACTAGTTAACAGCAATAAATAAACAACGAATTCCAACGCAGGGGCGCCTAAGACAATTGCAACGGTCCCGGGTGAGTTATGCGCTGTTTAAAAAGTCAAGGTGATTTAAAGCCACCTGTAAAAAATGACGGAGATGACGAATCCTACGAGGGAGAATAGTGAAAGTAATCATACATTATTGAATCGAAAACGCTGAATATGCAAGCAAGTAAATTGATCATTTTTAAAAATCAATAGAGATTTATTATTTTGCTTCAAGTGAAAAAAGTTGATTTTTATGTAATGTAAAAATCACTTTTTAAATATAACAGATCACATCTTTTACTCGATTTATATTTCAGTTTACGTTCTGGAAAATCATATTTTATATTGAAAAATATCGCAGCTGTACATATATTTTCAATGTCGTTTGCGGTAAACGCATCACGGCCTTGCGCCTGTGTGAGAAGCGATCGATCTTCGCGTGCGATCAAACGACTATCATAGATCATGATTGTGAGCAGTGACATCCCGGAAATCACGGATGGCTACACGTTATTCCTGCACCTTTCTCCGTGAGATCCGCGTAACTTTATTGTCACTGGTTACGCTATGCTTAGCGACATGCAATGATTATGCTTGGAGCACACTGAGAAATGTATCTCATATTTTTCACTATTATAAAGATAGATGTATGTACGTAGATTAATTCTTTCATCCTTTTGAACTATTTTTGCATTTAAAAAAAAAACGCAACTTACACATGGGTTTGCCTAATTTTTTCCCAAGTAAAATTAGGCAACACATTATACATGTTCATAATCTACTAATACTAATTGTTTAAATGGCAACTCGTCATATTTGTCCCAGAAGTGAAAGAATTAAAAGCAACAAATTAATTAATTCAGAATTGTTTGCTGAAAATAATTGGTTTTTAAAAATATTGAACTTCGGCGTACACCGAAGATTTTAATAGACAATTGCAACAAGTTAATTAATTCAGAATTATTTGTTCAACAATTTGTTTTAATTAGAGAACTTTATTTATTATTTTCTCTTTTTTTTTCTAGGATATTAATTGTATCTAGGGACAGTGTAACGTTGTTTCATAAATGGGTGACCACCTTGTCACGCTTTCGTGAAGATGAACGATGCATCTTAGAAAGGCTTGGACTCGTCGGTGAAATTTAATTATTTACTGGAAATATGAATTGAGAGAAAATATAGAGCGCGCTGTACGTTGTTCTTTTTATTTTTATCTTGTCAATCATGCGAAAACTTTGTTATATTCTATCAAAAACACTCACATACATATTTATTCAATCAATTTTAATCAAGCTTGCAGTGTATAATTGTTTACGAAGGATATCCCGGAAAGAAGAATTGAGAGAATTAGAACAAAATATAAATATATGTTGACGTGAAATATTTATTTGAAAATGTACCGTGTTGGAATTTGATTGTTTGGTTCTGGAAGGTTACATTTTATATGCTCTCACGAGCGCGCAGATATCTGGCGAACATCGACGGTGTCAGATGTTGTCGGACATCTCGCAAATCGACATTCAGGCTCTTTTTAATCTTTAATTTTTCATTTTTATGAACCTTGCGCAAGTTATTCCCGCGCGACCAATTGAGTATATCGGGCTGATACACAGCTCGAACCGGTCATGCGGTTTTCGAGGAATTCCTGATTTTGTAACTCTCTGGAGGCCTGAGACGACCTTGCCTCTTGTCACTTTCACCAGTTTGTCCGCAGGGTCGGACGAGCCGGTGGTGCCTTGGATGAAAGACCGAGCGAAGAGCAACGGCAGTGAGAACGAGAGAAGCAGAATGCGGCTGCAAGCCACGTGCACAGGCCCGTTTGGAATCGTGCACGCGTGTACGTGTGTGCACACACGTAGCGTGGAGCTGTCGACCTTGCCCTTGAAGAGGTGCGGTGCACGGGAGATGTAGTGCACAATCGGGGTGTTTCTGGAACGAGCCATCGATCCGCGAATGTCAATAGCTGTGGGCGAATCGCCCATGACTTCTTGGGTTTTACCTGTGACTTCACATGCTGTTTCAAGGGAAAAAAATCATACCAATATCAAAGAAGTTTATGTACAATGAGAAAGTGTTAACGAATGAATGAGAAACAGCGTTGCACCTCTTGCGTTTTACTTCTTTCTTATTTATTTTGGATTTAAGTAACCACTAAAATATTTGATCGCTGCGATGAAAGAAATTTCCACGATTAGAAAATACTAGTTGCTACTTCACTCTCAATAATTATCGCACGGCGTTGTCGATTAAATCGTTCGAGTAGTTCGAATAATTCTGATCTCGAGATCAAACATCGAATAGATCGGACTCTTCAAGTCGAAGGTTGGAAATAGACTGAGCAGTTCGATCTTCATTTCGCATTTACGCTGGCGTGACTTTTCTGGAAATCAAAGGCACGAATTTAATAGTCGTGAATCATATCGCGCGGATGGAGATCTCGAAAGCACAAGGCGAGCATGTGGTTTTCGTGCTGCACGGCACCTCTCGAGGGCACACACAACACACAATCGCCAAGAACTTTCACTGTCAAACGTCGTGCGTCATGTAATCCAGGGCCGAAGTGCCTGGATCGAGGATACAGCGGCGCGAGATGGAGTGAATATTATCCGTGCGCGGATCTCACAAGGATTCGGTCGCCGGGACCACCAGCCGGAGGCGTAGGTATTGCCGTGTGCACAAGTATGAGAATGACCCCGCTTGCGGATAATGCGATGATGTCGCAACAATGCGGCTGAGATGTCCCGTTACGTTACTCGACGTACAGTACGGTGACGATTTACGGCCGGCGATTCACGTGCCTGTAATACGACAGTTAGCATTTGCATTTATTTTCACGCACCATTTCCGTCTAAATATTCAAACGGACAGACGCAATTTTTGTACACAGATCGCCGCATTCGTATATATTTTTTTTTTATAATATCTAGCATTAACTTTTTTATTTCTAACATTTAATATTTTTTTTTCAGAGAAAAAGACGTAAAGTTGGAATTTTATTTTATCGTGACGGCTATGATTGTTATCGTGTAACTTTTACGATGGCGTGAAGTGTGTGCATGCGTGACATTTAATATCACAATGATTTACCCCATCACGCGAGCGAGAAAATAAAGAGACAATCCGCCGCAATCATAATCCATTTTACCTGTGATTGATTGAATAATGCGAATGTATTTGCAGTTAAGAAACTCGTGTAATAAGTAATACTACGCTTCTGAGCTTTATTCAATTTAGACGATTACGTGCGTCATCTCTCCTGGCGAGACCCTCTCTCGCAAGATTCTCTTGCGAATAATACGAGATGTCATAATAAACGTAGGTATCTCGTTACATCTTCGATGTACATTCGGTAATATTAAAAAAAAAGAAAAGAAGTTGCAAAGTAGAGAGAATTGCGATGGAGAGTTGAAAGTTGAAAGCGACAGTGGAGGATGCCGAGGCTCTCTCGTGCCATTCTCGAATTCAATTTTATTTTCCTCCGCCAGTCGAAGAATTGTAAAAATACCTCTTCACATATTTTAGTACTTTTTGTAAGAAATTCCCGTGTAATATTTACGAGCAATGGTAATAAATTCTCGCGCAAACAGCGCACATATATCGGTGTGAAAGACCAGCTGTACGCGCGCTTGAAAATTCACATTGTTTAAGAGA